AACGAGGGGAATTACGGGTGTTGGGATGACGAGTGAAGTTACTCATCCTTCCATTTCGTTCCGACAGGGCAGCAGTGGCCCTGCCGCCGCTCTGTTTTTCGGCCCTTGACACAGTAACCTGAGGCCAGGGAGAACGCAACCCCCACTGCGAGGTGAGTTTTCTCTTCGAGGGTGAGGAGTCGCTGTCTCCTTGCTTTCTTTAGGGCCTGTACACAGGGCGCTGTGTTTTTGAAAATAACAAGAGTGGGTTACAATACAATCATTTAGGTTTAAATTAGATTGACAGAGTATCAACTATGAGGAAACTCAATTACAGCTCTATTACTAGCTGAATTGACTTACATGGATCCGAGGCCAGAGGTTCACACCAAACAAGGATCGAGGTTTCCTGCTTACCCGGGGCCTGTTCTTATTAAGTTATGGGGGTCTGGTGTGATTGATGGGTACACATACCGGCCCGCTGCTTCTGAGCATGTAGGTAAGCCTATGTGTTGACAGAATCCAGCGTCATTCTTGATAGGACTCTCCCCCCCCCGAAGATGTTTTTACTCTGTACATTTAACACTATGACCATTCAGGTAGTCTCCTAAGCTGAAATATTATTTCATATAAAAATACTGCCATGCCCACACAAGAAGGTTCAAGGATTGTCATAGTGAGTCAAGAGGAGGAGGGGGGGTGGGGGGGTTGACTGACTTCTCTGTAACCCAAAAGGCCTCCAGCAGGTCACACAGATCAAAACAGATCAGAGTCCTGAAACAGGACGCTCCCATTGCCTGATGAAATGTCAAAGGGTCTAAATGTAAACGGGTGCAACAATGTAAACACAAGGTTCCGAATAATCAAAGTGTTTCCACCTGCAGTGACAGAGCCATCAGTTCTGGGCATGCCGGTCATTACCTCACAGCCTTCTGATGCTCAGAGGGTAACCTAAGAGAGGCCAGAGCTCGGCTTTGGCTGACTTTTGGGGGAGGAAAGAGCGGGAGCAAAGGGGCATTTTCCTCTACCTCACCTCAGAACGTAAACAGTGAAACACTCTGCAGACCTACAGGTGCCTTGCAGTCTTTAAGCCCAGAACAAGGAAGGTCATTAGGGTAAGAAAGGAAAGAAAGGTTTGATCGTGTTTGCAAAGGTTCAACCCCAAAAGTCGAGGGCCCAAAGAACTCAGTTAAAGCGAACTCCGAGAAGGCCTGCTGCACACGAGTACCATCCAGACCTATCACGATCTCATTATCACGGGGCGGATCTCATGGGGAACATATTAGTCCTTCACCACAATATACACCTCAGGTGGTTGTGGCAGAGAATGATCTTTTCCAATCATCCTCTCACTCTCTTCTTCGCTCCTATAAGCCGGCATGAGAAAACAATTACCCGATAGCAAACCGGCAGCGAGCATGACAAAGTGAGTGACGTCTGGGAACCCAACACCTTATGAAATGATGCCCGACGTCTCGTAACGTTTTTACGCATGACAGCATGACTGCTCCCCCTGAGGGGCTCGTCTGAACGCTACGCCATACGGCCCGCCGCTACGACAGGCAGGAGAGGAGGAGCAGGGAGACAGGACTGTGCTAATGAGAGCCAGATCCGCTGTGTTAGCTTAGGGCCTGGCTGCATGCAAGACAGAAAAGCGGTCCATCAAGCTGCCCCTGCAGAGCTGCTCACAGGCTTCTGAGGCAACAAGGTGGGGCAGGACAGGTTTGGCATGTTACTAAGTCTGGATGTGCAAAAAGAAGAGTTTAGTTCTCCCTTTCCATTTCCACATCAGCCGAACTTCCTTGCTGTTGCTGTGCCGCCAGTGGTAGTCTATGACACCACAGTAGAGACACTTTTGACCCATTGCCAGTGATGGCGTATATCTATGGGCGACCAGGCCAACCAAAGAATGACATTTCTTCTCATTAGGTCCTGTTTGAGGGATAGCAAGGTCAGTCTGTCCACCACTGTCTATATTTGTGCACTTGTGACATTAGCATTGCTGTGCAGACGCACAAAGCCACTAGCCAGGGGACAGGCTGACCCGGCGATGGGACACCTCAGGTTGTTCTATATGTTACTTCTGCGATTAAATGCCTAATTAAACTTGTTACATTAACTTCTAGAGACGAGGTTAAATGTTAAAGCAAGACACCATTAATGTCAAGTACTTTCAATTACTTTTGCCATAGTTCCGGTAAAATGGCAAAAAATAATAATAAATCTGCAACATTTTTGAAAACTGATTAATCAATAAAACAATTTATCAAACAAAAATCTCCTCTCTCTCTCTTTTCTATGTTTGTGAATTAATATCTTTGAGTTTGGAACCGTTGGCTGGACAAATCAAGCAATTTGAGGACGTCCACTATGGTTTGTCGGGGAACTTGCAACAGCAATTTTTTTCTTCAATTTATTTGACAAAAAAAAAAAATTAAATGAACGGAAAAAAATGTATTTGCTGCCACATTTAGAATTAAATTCTGCACTAAATGACAATTCCAGTATAATAGAAGCATTGTTCAGCTTTCAAAGGGCAGTGAAGGGGGGGCTTTCAGGAAGGCCACCACACACACACACACACCTCATGATGTGGCTGTAAAAGTAATGCGAATCGACCCGACTTTGTAAAATATTCACAGGAAATATAGAATCTGTCAGCTCAGCCCCTTGAGTAGCTGACGTTTTTCCAGTGTAAGCATGAGGAAACAGCAGCGCTACAGATCAGCATATGGTTGGACCACATAAAGGCATTATTACACCGTATGCCTCCGTTGTTGTTTGACCGAGACATATTTCCAGGCTGCGGCAGGAGATGAGGGATATGCTAAAAGGGAAGAGTCCTCGCTCTCGCTGCCAGCCCCGACCCTTTCATAATCGCCCAGGAATTATGCACATCCCAGTTAAAGCACTGGTAGAGTGAGTTATGCCCGCGGTGGTGTTTCCCGAGTAGTCTGCCAAAAAGATGATTTAGGTAGATCACACGTCTGAGGGTCTGAGGGTTCCTCGGACACTGTTTGAACACGTCTTTATTCTGGGGACAGAGGAATGCGAAGGGCGTGGAGTGAAAAACCCATCACCTAACAGTGACATTTCCAACATGGCAACCATGACGGCAAAGTCATTAGTCATCTCTACTGAATACTCGGACATTTGAGCGAAGAAGTATTCCTAATAATTATACAACCTGCTCCTATGGCGGTAGAGATGTTGCGGCTCGGAGTTGCATTAACACCAACGCAGTTGAATTCGCTTAAAAAAGATCTTTATTTAGTTTAATACATAGGCCGGTTTGTAGTGAAATGTTTACATTCAGCTTTACAATTCATACAGGAATTCTCCCACCAAATCCCTAAAATACACACAATTTACAAGGTACACATGTTTATACATATTTCTGAAGATTAAATAAAAGAGAGCTATACCAGTTAAATAACTAAAAGCCTACTTCCTTTTTGTTTATTTATACCATTAAATTCAAATGGTAAGCATTGTTTTATTTTCAGCTAAGTATAAGTTAACGTGTTAAAAGTAAATACGCCTCTGAAGGCCATTCACTGGACAAACAAACACAAATAAATGGCACGCAGAGTTCCCCATGCAATTAAAGAGATTCAAAAAAAAGAAAAATTCAATTTGTGATAAGACATGCTTGAATCCATGTCGTTTTCACCATCCAGGTTACAAGATCAAACTCTCAGAACTACATTTCGCAGAAGACACACCAGCACTCGAATACTACAAACAGGGTCAGGGGTCAGGGGTACAGTACATTTAGAACTGCTTCTCGGATACAAACACAGAGATAGGAGTGCTGTGAAATCCATTAGCAATGTGGAGCACACAGCTTTTTCTTTGATTTTCCAAATTCAGTGGAAACACCATCATGACTCACTGCACTGTCTAATATTGCACACTTTTCCTTTGTCTCTGTCCAGTCAAAGGGATCTTTATGAAAAACCATGGTGGTGCTCGTGTTATTACTGATATTGTCTGTCTGAGTGAGGGACTGCCAGTAGGTCGCACTCCATTAAAGCAACTCGTTACTACAAAGGCGTGCAATTTTAAAGAGGCTCCCTCTTCTTCGGCACCCAGTGGAAAGCTTGCTAGTGCCAATCTATTGGATTTATGCACTCTTCAAAACACATCAAAAAGTTTGAAGTCCAAGTCAATAAAAGTAGTAAAACGTCATTCCAGACAGTTGGTAACTCTATTATACTCTGAAGAAATGAGGCAGTTGTGTGGACAACAGACACGTGATCCAAGCCTTTCAAGAGTGGTGAGATGGAAAACAAGACGGCTTGGCTTGATAAGCTTCTCCATCAGCAGCATGATGTTCATAGAGTCTGGGGGGCGGGGGGGGAAATCAGGATAAAACAAAAGACAGACAAAAGATGGAGAAACGGCGGCAGAAATTTTTAAACAAAATTTTGAACTGAGCCATGTTGGTTTTTAAAAAGCTGACTTTTCAAAATGAAACGGATTACTCACAAATCTAATGTGCACTTTCGTCAAACATTTATATGATCCTTCGTACAGCTGGATGTCGCTTTTATGGTTCTAAACTTTCTGTGTTTTACTGATATGATAGTTGATACGGCGGTTGATACAGATGTGCTCACTAAGGCGAGGTGCTCCGAGGACAATAAGCATGCTGGAGACAAGGGAGAACCCTCGGTCAAAAGGTTTTTTATCATTCTCGTTATCATACTTCAGACACTTAGCCGTGTGCCTGACGAGCTTTGGTTTGTACTTTTAGATTCCCTTCATATGTATGAAGTGAGAATGTTTAAAAAAAAATGTTGACCAAGGGACCCCAAACTGCAAAAAAACTGTAACTCAAAACAAAACAGAGGAGAGGAAAACTCACTCAAATTCCATTTAGAGGAAGGCTGAGCTGCATTGGCATTTAAGCGCAGCGTTGTTAAAGCGTTGTGTGCAAAAAAGTAGTGTGTGTGATCACAGGTTGTGTGTGTGTGTGTGTGTGTGTGTGTGTGTGTGTGTG